GAGCCGCAGCATGGCACTACTCCCATAGTGTATCTTCTTCGATTAAATAAAATTGAATTGATCCGAGCGAGAATAATGAAGAGAGATGCAAAACATGTCAGACACGTTTTTAATGTTATGAACAAGCTATTGTTTAATTACAAAAAACCATCAAATTGAAATCTAAATAAACTTTGAATATATCGAACCTATCCCACTTCGGCAAACATTTCCGTTAGCTTATAAGTATCAGGTTGAAAATTGCAATAACTAAGTGTGGAAATAAGCCGTTTAAAGAAGATATCGAAATTGGTTTGTATTTTATTCATAATAATTCAAAATCTGGTTAAAAATTACATAGCGATAAAGATCTAAATAAGTATATAATGCCTGTTGAAAAGTTTTTTAAACGTATCGTTGGTGATATTAATTAACTTCTTAACAGTATTGAATATTTCGAAAAAGGATATAAAAATCTAAATATTTAACGATGGGCAAGTTAGTGCCTTATCTATTTCAACAAGATTCCTTATCACAGTCGAAGTAGGCCAAAAATTAGAGTTTTGCCGCATCAATTTAAAAAAAATCATGTACAGAAAGAAAATAATAATCTAAGATGAAAAGGTATAATAAAAGATTAACCACAAAAAGAGTGCAGTCAACACTTTCTATAACGAAAAGATTCTGGAAGAAAAAAAGTTTGTTATAAAAAATTAACTATATTTTATTAAAAACACCCAGAATCGACTGTACTGTACATAATTTATTGAGGAATGTCATAAAAAAACAAACCAAATGGTTAAACAAATAAACCAAAACCAAATGATTAAACAGAAATTGAGTTATATGTATTATTTCTATTTGTTGTATATACATTGTATATTGCTTTATATGATCGTTATTTAATTGAAGAATAAAATCTTATCGTTATAAAAAAATCATCGAAGACTTAATCATCTGGTACTGTACGTACGTACGTACGTACATGGTAACTATCGCTACTTATAAGCTTATAGTTACAGTACTATACAGTTACTGGATCCGCCCGAATCGCTAATGTAACAGTGACAACAATATTACTGGTAAACCTTATTTTAATCTAAGTTCTAGTGGAACGTCATATCTCTTGAAATAGGAACAATAACTATAATATAATAGCAGATCACCAAATTTTTTTCTGTACTGTATAACTGTCACGCAAAATGGGTGATTGTCATTAACTTTACAATTTAAATTTTTCTGGTCAATTTTTTTTAATCGTTCAATTTAATACTGAATTTATAAAATGGAACTATGTGAAGTATGCAATAAGCGAAAGACCGATTATTTTTGGTGTTTAACATGTAATTCAGGTCATTTTGAAAAACAATTTTGCAAATGGACAAGTGGAAATGATGTAATTGATAAATTTATTAAGAATATTCAACTTAAAGCTGCTAAACAAGACCAAGTATTAGAATGGGTTGAATTTAAAGACATCGATAAAGTTGAATTTCTTGCTGAAGGTGGCTATGGAAAAGTATTTAAGGCTAAATGGAAAAGCGGTCCTATTAAATATTATGTTAATAAAAATAAAAGATGGCGCAGAGCTGGTGAGACTAAAGTTGTTCTTAAGAGTATAAAAAATTTAAAGGATGTGAAAGAAGAATTTTTTAAAGAGGTACATAATTTAATGTGCTAATTTTATTTGCGTAAATAATACTTTTTAAGTGTTTATTTTTTTTTTTAAAGATTGAAACTCAAATGGCCTCATGTGAGGAATTTAGTTATATTATTAGATGCTACGGGATAACTAAATGTCCAATCACTGAAGATTATATGATGATCATGGATTACAAAAAAGACGGCAGTCTTCGAAGTTATTTGGATGCAAATTTTCATTTTCTAAGATGGAAACAAAAATTAGAACTTTTATACACTGCGATTAAAGGTCTTTTTGACATCCATGAAAAAAACTTAGTACATAATGATTTTCACAGTGGTAATATTATTGTTTCAGACAATGAATCATATATTTCTGATTTTGGATTATGCAAAAATGTTAATTCTGAAACCGAGTCTGAAGCCAAGTCTGAAGCCAAATCTGAAGTATTTGGAGTTTTGCCATACATTGCACCAGAAATACTATATAAAAAACCATATAAAAAAGCAGCAGATATCTATTCTTTTGGAGTAATTATGAATCAGGTTGCATCAGGCTATGCACCATTTCACGATTATAACCATGATACCAACCTTGCACTTCAAATTCTCGACGAGGGACTCCGCCCAAAAATTGATGTTAATAACACACCACAATCTATTATTAAATTAATCAGACGTTGCTGGAGAAAAAATCCCAAAGAACGGCCAATTGCTATTGAATTACTTAATGAGCTTCGTACTTATAGGGAAAAAGACCATGAAATATGGAAGGAAATTGAAAAAATCGAAGAAAATAAGAATTTTAATATATCACCACAAGAAGCATCGCTAAAATACGAAACATCCAAACAAGCATTCTATACTAGTAAACGCCATTATGTTCCAGAAACAAGTAAACACGATTATAATTCAGAAACAGGTAAAATTTAATTTAGTATTATCATTTATAATTTAGAATTTTAATATTTATTACGAATTCATCAATTTTGTTCATGTTTTTAGAATCTCTAATTCTTCCATCCGATCCATCCGATTCCGATTAAGTTGATTAAAACATATATATAATTGTATATTTTTATAATGTTAAACAAATCTAAATTATTGCACCATTCTTGTTTTGAATTAAATATCATATAATATTTAAACATCAAAAATAATCAAAAATTTTCTATTATAATTTGTTTGATTACTTCAGCAATTTAAGTAAATGTAATGTACAAAAGAAATATTTTCTAATTAATAATTTCATTTCTTGTACTCATAATTGTATTTTAATAAATTTATTTTACAATTGCCATTATGACTCAGGAGAAATAACTAAACTAATCATGAAAAATGCCGAGATCAGTCCTCGATTAGTTGAACTTATAATTCTATGATTTTTTTTTTGAATCCTGTGACCTAAATTCGTTATGGTAGAACTCATTTATGAATGCGCTTATAATATCTCACAAATATTTACAATGAGACAATAAAACATTAGAATAGAATAAATAGAATTTACAATAGAACAATATAATACTAACACATATTAACACCGGATTAGAACTTAAAAATAAAAATAAATTGTAAAAATTAACATTGAATAAAATAAATATAAGATATGCTAGAATTAATTCTTATCTTTTGAAATAATAAATGGCCAAGAATTTTCATATCATAATTAAAGAGGTAACCCACAGTAGAAGAACATCACCTTTAAAAATAACATTTAATCAGATGCATTGTTCATCATCGATTGTATAGCTAATACTATAAAATAGAACCAAATTCATCCAAAACATTGAAATTGGATAATTTCCTTAATATTTGATCGTATTTGCCCATCTAGTTTGAACAAATGACATATCGCCAATTATAGAACCAATAAGTATATCACCAAAAACTTTTCCCAGTATATAATACGTGTTGAGAAAATAAACCGATCAAATTTCTAAACTATTATTAAAGTAGTATCCGGAATATTAATTTTATCTAGAATATTATCAAAATTTTTGCATTTGTTTCCTATCTATAGAAATTTTGCATTGCATTGACACAGAACAAGAACGTTGAAAGTTGTAAGTTCTACAGCCGCCGTTAATATAATTTATTAACGTCGAAAGAAAGTTAGGAGATAAAAAACGTATTCATAGGTATATCACGTCTATCCATTATACTAGTACCTGATACAGATTGTCCAAAAGGCAACATTCCTTGAAGGATGCATGTGAGCGCAAAATTGAGTATGACATATCTATATTTTCTAGACTGGAGCTATTAGTCTATTAACAGCATCACCAATTGAAAATAAGCAGGAGAAGTGTGTAGTTTTTGCATATACAGCATATAAAGTATTATTATTATTAGTTGAGTTTCAATAAGCGTTTTGAACATTATTTTTAAGCAAAAATATTTTGTATTGATTTAGAATTGGAAACCAAAGCAAAGTCATTTTCAAAATCAGCGGAACATGAAGAAATATTTGAATGAACGATTTCAGTAAAATTATAAATTCCAATAATTTTTGAAACAGCAATATTTGGTCTATTTTTTGCTACAAAAAATATCAAGATAAATATAAATACGCCCTTAGATAATCTGACACGTCTAAGAAAAGTATCCCAAAAAAGATCCAACAAAGATCCATAAATTGCATCCATTTATTTTATATTTAATTTTATAGAGGAATATCAAACTATAGAAACTAATACAGGAGATAATAATGCTTCGAATAAAGAAATATTGTTATTGATATAGCCCAATAATTTAAAGAATCAGCATTAGAACTAACCCTTAAAACATTTTCATTTTGTCAATAAGGTAGCTGTGCAACGTTGTCACAGCAACCTAGGGTAACGATTAGTATATTATAAAACTTTTTGATTCGATATATAATTGATATTTATATAAAGTTATTATACTTATACTATATAATTTCCAACTCTAGGTGTCGCCCATAGAGATCCAATTTGATTATCCTGGATCAGCCAGACGAAACAAAACAAGCGAAAAAAGAAAAACATTATAAGAAATGGTCTAACCTATCTCGAGTATTAATGAAGAATGTCGGAAAGCAATTTTACCTATATGGGCTAATTTATCATAATCTTAGCCCGGGCACTCTAACCCTAATTTTTAGAAACCATTACAGTCTACCTTTGTTTAATGTACTCCGTTATAGAGGCACCTCGTTAAAACAGAGTAATTCTCTAGAACGATTTAAAATTTTCATTAATATGCTGTATAAGGCCAAAGTTAATGTTTTACTTTGCATTACGCACTAACCAAATTTTTCAAAAAACATTTTTTTCATAATAAAAATTTATTTAAAACAAAAATAGCAAATTTTATTTAATCGTTCGACTTTCGAATTTTAATTCAAAAAAAAATCAATACTTATTTAATCAAAATATAAAGGCATACAAGAACTAATTCAGAAAAAAAGAGTAATATCAGAACATTTGGGATGGTATCCTATATTAAATCCGAATATAGTAACATGAGCAAAGTTTGTAATTTATTTAACGCATTATTATAGGATGATGCTGAAGTATGAACTTATTTGTTTAAAGTGAAGTTAGGAGTTAGGGTGAGTGTTCATAATAAAAATGTAAATGCAGAATTTAGTAGGGTTTATATTTTTAAATCAAAAACACCAAATTTCTGCATCATCCATCTCAATATCATCGTCATTTATTATCACATTAATACAGTTAAATAACCCTTTCATATTGTTAACCATTTTAAACAAAAAAGTTCTAATTTCTTATGACGTTAACACTAAAATCGTAACTAATGATGCCTGACGAAACTAATTTGCCCTGACGAAATAGTTTCGTCAATGGTTTCGTCTGACGAAACCTGACGATATGACGTAATTAATGACGATTGACGTAACTGTTGACGATTGATGTAACTATAGACGAAACTAAATTTGGGTCAAAATCTGAAAAACGGATCCCCGAAAGAACATAATACTGACAAAGTTAGCCGGCACTAGCTATAATTCTGGCCAATTTAGTCAGTATTACGTTCTTTAGATAGTGTTGTTTGTGATTTTGACCCAAAATCGACGAAACTATTATAATTATAAAACAACAAAATTTATTTACTAAAAATTTTATTTTTTACTTTGGCGACAAGTTTTACGAAGTGCTATAGGTAAAGTTTCTAAAACACTATCTTCACCTTCTATGTTATTTACATTTTCACTAATATTTTCGCTTACTTCATTTGCTATGCTATTTAAACTATCATTAACACTTTCATAATCTTCATGACCCCACCCTTGTACCAAATCTGTCGCTAATTTTGAAGAATCAAATTCATAAACACCATGTCCTTCTACATCACTAGATGTCAATTCATCATGCTCAATTTCATCGAACTCATCATCAATTTGTGAATTTTCATCTGACTCATTATTTTGAAAATTTTCATTGTTTAAGAACACAATATTATTAAGATCAAATCATTCAATAACATTAAAATTATACTCAGACTCTTCTTCCTCTATTTCGAAATCTTCAACTATTTTGTCATCATCTTCTGCCAAAAACGTTGCAAACTTTATTTGTTTGTGTAAGTCATCAGGTGATAATGTTTTACCAAAATAAGCTAGCTCTTTTTTTATATTAGAAATACAAAAGGACCGAACTTGAGCCATAGCTTGAATTCGGGACAGAGAAAGTCTTTGCCGCCATTTTCCATAAAGCCAACCTAATGCTGAAAAAGTTCTTTCACAATCAGCAGAATGAGGGGTAATTGAAAATACTTTGGTTGCAAGTTTTCTGATTGATTTTGATCCAACAAAGTTAGTTGACTACTATAATAGAGGAGTATCATTTTTAAAACTATAGGATATTTAAATAACATTTACAATAATAATTTTTATTTGACTTATCTAAATTATCTCAACTATATAACGCATTTTACCAAAAGAGCTTTTCTTGACATTATCTAAAATTTTTTTCATATAATAAAATGATGGCATTAAAATAATAGGTTAACCTGATTCTGGCTATTTATTTAATTTAAGGATAGTCTAGATATGCCTAACTGTGCAATATGTATACTATGTGCAGTAAAAAAAAAAAATATATATATATCCACTTTACGTACAATTTTTTTTTACTTTTTAACAAAAAAAAATTTGACATGTCTCAAAGTATAAACAAAAATCCAAAGTGCTTGTACTACTTGTTGAAACAAGAATCAATGAGTTCTTCAACATCCAAATCATATGAAACAAATATATCTAGTGAAGAAAATCCTAAAAGCACTAAAGACACCATAGGTATAGCAGTTTTGAAAATACTGAAGGTACTGGAAATGCTGGTAGTCCTGGAGGATGAGGTATATCACCTGTTTGGTTGTTTTTTGAATGAGAAAAATCTAGTTCAGCTGGACATTATTCAGCAAAATGTTTGTATTGTGCATCTAAATGGGCAAGAAGTGAGCCACAAAAACTTGAGGCTCATCTTGCACTTGAATGTGCTTATGTAGATGATTAAGTTCAGCAAATATATTTACTTCATGTATCTAATCGTGATCAGTCAAATGAAGCAGAATCTGATATTCAAACAGTTTTAAAAAAACAAAAAATAAACAAGTAGTCTAGTATTTCGAAGTTTTTTCCACAATCAGAAGGTGGTTTATCTGAAACACGAATAAATGCTATAAATAGCTTATTGTTAAAGGTCTTTGAAGTTTGTGGCATTCTATTTTCTGTGGTTGAAAATCTATTTTTTTATCAACCTTCTTCAAAATTTGTGTCCAAACTATCAACCACCATCAAGAGAAGTATTAGCAGGTCAATTATTAGACCAAGAGCACTCTAAAATTATAGTAAAGCGGGAAGCTATATTTCAAGAATCAAAAAATTTAACTATAGATATATATATATTTAATAATACTATATTAAATAGTATAATTTGAATTATACTATTCACTATAAATTTTTTAAATTTTATTAGTTAATAATATTATTATTTTATAATTTAATACTTAAATTATTGTTATTGTAGCACTTGATGGGTGAACATCACCTAATGGAAGCTCAAACTATAGTTTTATTATTTTAACACCAATACATAATAAGTTTTTATATTCATTATATGATTTTTTTTTTAAATTCACATAATTCAAAATTTCTTTCAAATAAAATTAATAATGTTATAAATGAAATTGGTGATGATAAATTTGTAGCAATTGTGATTGATAATGCCAATAACATGAAACTTGCTCGTCAAATTGTTCATAAAATATATCCAAAAATTTTAAATTTTATTGTATTGCGTATTGTATTAATCTTATATCTAAAGATATTCTTAGTAAGTATTAAAGTATATAGTATATTTAATTATTATAGAATTAA